CACCATACAGTTTCGAAATACAAAATCACATTTTCCCGCTTTTTATAGTTAAACAATATAAGAATATTGTAGTATGTACCACAAAAACTTATATTTTCTATAAAAAATCATAACTCAGAAAAAAAAATTTTCGCTTTTAGAGATTTGGGTTGATTGTAGTTCAAAGTGTCTCTTTCCCGGTAAAAAAAGTTTGAGAGAGAAAAAAAATACACTTTTCGAGAAATTAAATTTAAAAAAAAATTTGCACTTTTTGTTTATTGTTAAATAAAAAATTTTAAATAATGAAAATCAATAATTATATCATTCTATCTTGAAGTGACAAGAATTACTGACATTTGAGTAAAAGCATTGTTGGAATCTATTAAATTTTGACAATGTTATGGGCATTTAAAAAAAAAAAATCTCACTGTCAATTCGAATAATCGATTTTTGCCTGAAAAACAAAATCGCGTTTAATTCGGCCGAAAAATTTTTCCCAGCCAAAAGAAAAAATACGTGCCTCATTATTTGGACCAACAAACAATGTATTTGACTTTGGTACAAATTAAAAATCAAATTAAAAAAATGGAAAGCATCCTTTGTAATAAAATTTTGGAAAATGGGCGTGGTACCGCCCATTATGATCAGATATATGTATCTCGGTAACCGTTCGACCACTATGTACCAAACTCGGTATGATTATAGTGCTTGCCACATAAAAGCGAAACCTGAAAATTATTGAAATCGGACTAAAATTACGCTGACTTTTTATATAACGGTAAATTTCAGAAATGCTTGAAACTTCGATATTTCAATATTGAAGTAGGCTAATTTACACAAAATTGATACTAACAACAATCCTTTGAAAAGAGATAAAATTATTATGGAATTTTTGGAAAATGGGCTTGATACCGCCCACAGAAGTTTATCGAAGATGGTTGAAATAGGGATAAATCCACCCCTGCTCACCAAGTAGCGGTAGTTTTCGGAAAGGTGAAAAACTATGGGCTACATTCTGCACCCCGTCGTGAAAAGTCCCGATTTCCGAATTAAGTTCCGAAGAAAAAATTGTTTGCATTCCATTCTCCGACGGAGATGTATAAGTTGTTCGAATTTTCGAAGTTATTCGTCATTTACATCTTTCAAGTGACAGCTTATTTTAAAAATAGAAAGCAGTTGCAAGAATAAGTTATTTTAAGAAAAAAGCAAAGATAACGTTGTAGCAATAATAAAAAAAAGCTAAAAATTATGGAATCCATTGCTGCTGGTATTTTATTAATCGAAGAAGATGAATATTCAAGGAGTAACGCAGAAAATGTAAAACGACGACAACTTAGAGACGCCTGCGATCCCTTTCAGTTGAATGTTAAGGCGTAAGTGTAAGACAGATATGAACATTTAAAAATTACAACTAAGTTTCTTTCAGATTTAAAAAAGAACTTTCGGATAAGCAAAGATTCCTTTAAATATTTGCTAGGAATATTGGATGAAGAGTTCAGTGGCCCGACAAAGAGTTCATCAATAACGACTCTGAGCCGCTTGGTAGCTTTCTTAAGGTTTTTTGCAGAAGGAGACTACCAACACGGAGTTGGTAAGGACTATGATGTCGGAATGACGCAGCCCACAGTATCGAAGACAATATCGCTGCTATTAAATGTTTTTGAAAGGAAGCTTTGCCCAATCTGGATAAATTTTATTATGGACGAGTCGGAAGTAGTAGAAGCAAAACAAGATTTTTACTCAAAGGCAATGTTTCCAGGAGTAGTAATGTGTGTTGACGGTACTCACGTTAAATTAACAGCACCTTCGTCAGAGACGTTTCTTTTTTTCAACCGAAAAGGCTGGTATAGTCTTAATGTAATGATAGTAAGTTTGATATAATTATGTATATACAAAGTAGATATGTATGTATGTAACTTTTGAACGTAACGTTTTAATTTATTTTAGATATGCGACCATAAGTTGAGAATAAGAGCAGTAGATGCACGGTATCCAGGATGTAACCATGATAGCCATATTTGGAAGTTAAGTAGTGCTAGGAAGCATCTCGAGCGGCAATTTAGAGAAGGAAATACTAACACGTGGCTTCTTGGTTGTAAAAAGCCGTACCATGTAGCTTACAAATAAGTATTAACAAATATTCTTCTAGGCGATGCCGGCTACCCACCGAACCATGGCTTATGACGCCTTATAACGGGTGATTTTTTTGAGGTTAGGATTTTCATGCATTAGTATTTGACAGATCACGTGGGATTTCAGACATGGTGTCAAAGAGAAAGATGCTCAGTATGCTTTGACATTTCATCATGAATAGACTTACTAACGAGCAACGCTTGCAAATCATTGAATTTTATTACCAAAATCAGTGTTCGGTTCGAAATGTGTTTCGCGCTTTACGTCCGATTTATGGTCTACATAATCGACCAAGTGAGCAAACAATTAATGCGATTGTGACCAAGTTTCGCACTCAGTTTACTTTATTGGACATTAAACCAACCACACGAATGCGTACAGTGCGTACAGAAGAGAATATTGCGTCTGTTTCTGAGAGTGTTGCTGAAGACCGTGAAATGTCGATTCGTCGCCGTTCGCAGCAATTGGGTTTGTGTTATTCGACCACATGGAAGATTTTACGCAAAGATCTTGGTGTAAAACCGTATAAAATACAGCTCGTGCAAGAACTGAAGCCGAACGATCTGCCACAACGTCGAATTTTCAGTGAATGGGCCCTAGAAAAGTTGGCAGAAAATCCGCTTTTTTATCGACAAATTTTGTTCAGCGATGAGGCTCATTTCTGGTTGAATGGCTTCGTAAATAAGCAAAATTGCCGCATTTGGAGTGAAGAGCAACCAGAAGCCGTTCAAGAACTGCCCATGCATCCCGAAAAATGCACTGTTTGGTGTGGTTTGTACGCTGGTGGAATCATTAGACCGTATTTTTTCAAAGATGCTGTTGGACGCAACGTTACGGTGAATGGCGATCGCTATCGTTCGATGCTAACAAACTTTTTGTTGCCAAAAATGGAAGAACTGAACTTGGTTGACATGTGGTTTCAACAAGATG